CTGTAGGTACATGCCACTTATGTGTATGTGTGTTTGTGTGTGTGTGTGTGTGTGTGTGTGTGTATATATATATATATAAAGATAATTATAAAGAGCTGTTACATACTTGTGTGTGTGTGGATTTTTAGCCTAGTGTCATTTTTCAACAATGAAGAACACTAATGATGATTTTACCTTTTTATGTTATTTTAGAAGGCTTATGTCAAAGTCCACAACCTTTAAAAATGGTAGACAGGTAAAATAATGTGATAGGAAAAATATTTAAGATACGGTTTTGATGAGCAAAAGAATCAGAGAGCATAAGCCAATTTGAAATGTCAGTGAGTGGATTATTAGACCTCTGGAGAAGAACGATTTGATTTTACTTGCTTCTGCCACCTTAGTCTCTGTTTTATAATCCCTGTTCTGGCCCTGAAATTTTTAATTCAGTCAAGTTCTGACTCCCAAAATACCTTTAAGTATGGAAATGAGTAATAAAACTCTTATTTTTTCTTTAGAGCATTAGCAGTATTGAGAGGATTGAGGGACTTTTTTCAAACAGTTTTACACGTGTAAAATAGAACTCATGTAATACTTCAGCCATGGAAGATACTGTTCTTGTTTTTAAAATAATTGTGAACAGGTGTTTTTTCTATTCCAAGCTATTGCTTTCTTCCTTTTTGAAACATTCAAATTGGTTATTTTTAAAGGTATAACTATTTAGTAATGTATCCTATTACTGATTTATACACATTTGAATTTTGCCAAATCCATTTGTATCTTTTTAAACTATAGAGACAGAAAAATACTTAACAATGTACAGAATAGTCATGATACTAATGCATAAGCAATTATTTTTCTTACTACTATTGGAATTGGACATGTACTTTCAAGATTAATTATTTATTTTGCAGCCATTTGAGCAGCTGTGCAAAATCATGTTCTTTGTCATGGGTTCGGTTATGCCTTGAAGAAGAAAAAGGAAGAACATTAATATTAACTGCCACTTTGTATGAGGCTTTTGATATACTTCATTTAATCTTTACAATGATCCTGTGAGGAAAGATGGTGATATCCCCATTTTCCAAGTGTATAGGCTCTGCAGTTCAGTTTTTCCCATTTACATGGCAAAGAAGAAGCCAAATGATATTCACCTCCAAGTCTATCAGAGTCCAGAACCAGGGTTCCTCTTCCTTCACCGTGCTGGGCACTTTAGTTCTACTTTCATTTTCAGGATGCATTCAAGTGTCTTATTTTTACATTCTTGGAATCTTTCCAGATTTTAATTTTTAAAAATTAGAAAATGTACTGTGTAGCAATATGAATTTTAAATAAAATATCTCTTTTAAAATTTATTTTACTTGAACAAGTAGTCATATTAAATATGAATGAATGTGAGTACTTTGATGAGTACTTTAGAGTACTCAGGCTTGTCTAATAGAAAAGGTAGACAAGTTGAATAGTTATTATTACTGTGAAGTAACATCTATAATAGAAGTGAGAATAAAATGTGTGGGAGCATAGTAAATGATGAAGGAATTTCCTACCTAGGAGTCTCCTCTGCTAGACTGAACTCCCAGCACATAGTGTAAAGCCATAATCCTTAGGTGCTAAGAGAAACTTTTGTTCAGACACTGCTACTTAAAAGGCTTTTTGGTTTTCTTAAAGAACTGTGAATATTCCTTCTAGGCTTTTCTGTTGATAAAGAGAGCAAAGAAAATGAAAGAAGCCCTTGGGGGATCAATAGATAGGAATTAAATTGGTAGTCCTTGCTCATGAAAGGAAGAGGCTGCTTGTCTATATTACACTGCATGTTTTCCTGCCACAAAAAGAGATGGCTTTGTCCGGTTTGGTATTGAGCAATTCTGAAGTAAATGCTGAAGTACAGTGGAAGGGATTAGAGTCGATAAGATTTAGATTATCTGAATCTTTGCATAACGTATCTAAGGGTTTGAAATAACAGGTCTTGTATTTTGATAAAATACAACCTAAATTCTACTTTTCAGAAAATTATGTGACAGCCAAAAAAAAAATAATAATAATAAGATGTATTAGATCCCTTATGTAGTAAGATGGACTACCAAGGTTTGAAATAACAGGTCTTGTATTTTGATAAAATACAACCTAAATTCTACTTTTCAGAAAATTATGTGACAGCCAAAAAAAAAAATAATAATAATAAGATGTATTAGATCCCTTATGTAGTAAGATGGACTACCAAGCTCCGAGCTCCCAGCTCAATTTTATGTTTTAAGGGAAAATAGCATTCACTTATTGAACCTTTGAAGAGAGTTCATAAAAACAGAAATAAAAGGTGTATTTTCTTAGTTAGCAATAAGATGTGATATTGGTCTCCTGATTGCATGTAGGATTTTTGCCATTGTCTATTTTGGATAAAAAATATGCAGAAATCATAATCTCTTTTGCAATTAATAGACTGAAAAGAAGTTGCCTTGTAAAATAAAGATTTTCTTCTGTAAAAAATAAAGGCCCTTTGAAGTTTGAGAGGTTGGTATTCTGTATGAGCTGCAACACATATAATTTTTCACCAAGTTGTATTATATTGTGCTGTCCAGGACTTTCTGAATGGCTTGAATAAACAAGTATTTTCTTAGACATCATTTACTAGATAAGGGTCAATATAGAGATGACTTTGAAACATAATGGAAATAACATCTTTGAGTAAAATGAATAAAGAGTCTGACACAATTATTAAATAACCAGTCTGCTACTTTCTCTTTAAGAGTTACATTTTATTTGAAGGAGAAAAATATATTAATTTTAAAATCTAACTATAATACTGTCTTAAACTCAAACAGGAAGCATATTAGTAAATAATGATTTTTGTATTTCTTTAGAAGAAGAGCCATTTTTTCGATAATAATCTTAAAAAGAAAAACTCAGAAAAAAACCTCTCAAGTTCAAGCTGTCCCAAGAATTGGTTTCTTAGAAAAGTACGACTTAATACTAACCATATCTGATTACAGTCGTTCCTCAGTATCCTTGGGGGATTGGTTCCAGGACCCTCAGAAGATGCTCAAGTCCCTTATATAAAATGGCATAGTATTTGCATATAACCTACACACATCCTTCAATATACTTTAAATCATCTCTAGATAACTTGTAATATCAAGTACAATGTAAATATAGATTTTCAGATATTCTTGATGGATAAATTGTATGTAAATAATTATTATGCTATATTGTTTTTATTTGTATTTTTTAATGTTATATTCATATTTTTCATTTTGTTTTGTTTCAAATATTTTCAAACTGCAGTTGATTGAATCCGTGGATGTGGAATCTGCGGACATAGGGGGTTGACTGTTAGTTGTTCATTTTGTCTTAATGTTCATCAGGAAAACTTTATCTTTGTTTTCTTTTAGGATATGTCTGGCACTTCAGGTTAAAACTATTTTTTTATTGTAAATAAATTGAGCTAGCCAATTTTTTAAAAAACTTAGGATCTGTATTACATAGATAGCATTATTTTATTAAAAATGTCATATTAGGTGTTGAAAGAGTGGGCTTTGGAGAGAGACCTAGATTTCAATCCCATCTCTAGCACTTATTAGCTGTATGAGCTTGGTCATTAGCTTTGATTAATAATCTTTTAAGTACAATTTAATTATCAATTTTAAGCAAGAAACTATCTCATTATAGTCTTTATTTGCTTTTATAGATCAGTGTACTGTTACTCGGACATACCTGTTTCTTCACAAATTCTGGTTCTTCAGTGCTGCATACTATTTTGGTAACTGGGCCTTTCTTGGGGTAAGTACAGGTATTCTAGGGCTGATTTTACCTTCCTTTATAAAGTAAAATGTACAAACTCTTTGTTTGTATCTTAGTAGTCCATTTGTGTCATAGCACTGCTATTGAATTTTAAAAATATTACTTTCTGAATGATTTTAGATTTGGGAAATAATATAT